AATTGCTCTATTTAAAACAATATATAGCACTTAGTGGGTACTTAGTAAATATTTGCTGAAAGTTAATACAGTTCTTCAATTTTATAATTTAGACTTTGAAAAATAGGTCCTAGTCCATTCAAGTTGAGTTTTTTGCTTACGTTAAGTCATGCCTTTTCTACTGTTCACTTACAGTAAAAATATTTTGACCATAGCTTGACCAAAAATAAACATTACTGAAGTAATCATTCAGTCCATATGAGAAATTGTTGGCCCCCCCAATGGCTAAGTAGTCATCCTACGGGATTTAGTTCTGCAGACTCTATTGACGATGGCAGTGAACATGTTCATAATAATAAGGGCTTGTTTTAATAGAACGTTCCACGCATTAAACGCATTAATGACCCATGAAATAACTGTTTTATCTGTAACACATTAAGCAACATTGCTAAAACAAGGTATTAATTGAAAGTCTGCTATTTCTCTTAAAGTAACATTTTTAGTGTAAAAATGGCATGCTAGTCATTTTGTAAAAACAAAAATAATTTGACTTCACAATTAGAGCCACACCAAATGATCTGATGAAAAACAAACATTTCTAATGGAAGCCTGATCATTTTAGATGTCTTATTCTGATATCTTTCGATTTTCCCCTGATCGTCAAAAATGATGCCTGTTTAGATTACGACTTAAGTGTCTTATGAATATTTTAAAAGCTTAGAGTTTTCCTCTCTGCATACTTATCTTCTGCGGGACTTTTCTCTCTCCTTTTCTCTTTACTTAACAGGTACAAAGACGACCACACTCAAATGTACCTGCCTCACTTCCACCCCTTTCCATTTTCTAATACCACGTTTGATGTTACGAGAGCACCAGGGTGGCATTTTCTATGAATGTGTGCGATCACAATTAAACCCAAAGCGATATCAAACAGAAAACGCCAGTCTTCTAAACACAAACCGCAATGTACGAAGAAAGAGTACGTGAATTATCAGTGTGTCTTATAAATTCACTTTTGGGGGGGCACACAAAATATCAGACTAGAAACAATTATTTTACTGTCTGTTTCTTGGCTATCAAAGAAAATTTTGAAATTCATCAAAGCTAACCTTCTGTTATGTACAACAGGCTAAGCTGAAAAGAATGTTAACAAGTTCAATTTTCATTCAATCAGCACTACTGCTCTCTGAAATGTTTCATTGCAGGAAAGAAATAAAAATAATCTATATGGTAATTATGAGGATGAATCCCCCAGTAACTTTCAGCTACATGAAAGGTCAGTTCTATTCAAGATATTTTATCAGTCCCCTGCACATACTCCTGTCCTGTCATTTTAAATCTGAACAGCATTTTATTTTCCCATTTACAGCTACCTGCAGAATTAAGTACTTAAGCCAAATAAGGGGGAAAAAAAAAAAGAATGTTGAATGCTGGCAAAGGCTATAATAGCATAGAGATAAATCGTTCAGCTGCTCTCTCTCAAGCCTCTAGGGCTGTAGATTTTTCTTCTCCTGGTGCACTGTGGGTATTCAAAACTTGTTCAACATGATTTCATTTCATTTCAGGCACTGCCTGAGAAAACTAAATTACAGAATCAATCATACAGAAGGTCAGAGTGAGACTTCATTACAAGTATTGCATGCTTGCATGAATATCTTTCATTTATGACTGACCCAATATGTCACAATAGCTGTCTAGTAAAAATAATCCACTTTCTGAAATTGATGTACTACTGATGTCAATGCTACTCAGCAGGCTGGGCAGATTATAGAGAGGTGTTAAAAAAAAAAGGAAAAAAAAAAAAACCTTTGGTGTGCTCGTTGTAGATTTTTTGGATTGCAATCTTGTGGAGATTACAATAATTTCCCAGTGATCAACTGAACTGACACTAATGCACAGAGGTAAGGAATTTTTTAACCAAGATATAGTGTTGATTTCTACTTGCCAACTGCACACTGCTTGAAAATTTACATATCCACAACAAGCAAATCGAGGTTTTTCTTTTAAGTCACAAATGCGTCAACTCGCAGTTTTTCAACCAGTCGCTTTTGAACACCAGAGTATTATTTGCATATTTCGAAATGTGAGTGCTAATCATTTTTGGACTCTTTTTTTTTTAAAGTTTTCTCTTCATAGTCTTATTTCATTGTATTGTATTATTTAACTTTTTATTGAATTTTTAGGCTGACATTGGTTTATAAAATTTTATAGGTTTCAGGGGTACAAGTGCACACCGCCTCATCTGTGTATTATTGCATTGTGTGTTCGCCGCCCCAAATCAAGTCTCCTTCCATCACCATTTGTTCCCTCTTTACCCTCTTCTACCTCCTCCCACCTCCACCCCCGCCCCCTCTGAAAATCGCCATACTGGTGTCTGTGTCCAGGAGCTTTGTGTTTTTTCTGCTTAATCCCTCCACCTTTTTCCCCAGCCCTCCAAGCCCCTCCCCTCTGGCAGCTGTCAGTCTGCTCTCTGTAGCTGTGAGTCTGTTTCATTGGACTCATTTTAATCCCTGCTTTTTGCTCCCGCTCTGTTTTTAAATATAATAGCATACATTTAAGGAAGATAAACATGTTGTGCTTGTTGCCGACAAAAATGCAGCTAATCAGCAATGTGACAAGCTGTCACTCTTCCTAAAGGAAAACCAAGGAAGCTCTGAAGAAAAGCTGGTTTAATACAATACCAACACGCTGGCTTTTCTTCTTCTACGATAGTCCTAATTCACCATAGCAATCCTTCACAGACAGCCATATTCATTTGGATAATACAACTCCTTACTTGCATGAGGTATGAAATATCCATGCACACAGGGAAGCTGAATGCACGAGGTATAAACTATTATTTATTATTTTTCTGGTGACCTTCCTGAGGGAAATCTCGGCGGAGCGGCCGGGGAGCGTGAGGATGGAGCCAGACGACGCGGGACCCGGAGGGAGCGGACGGGAACCTTGACACAGCCTATTTTTAACCAGGCCTCTGGCGATTCTGAATTCAAGTTTATAGGTGAACATGTCAAGTAGTCCATAGAACAAAGCCAACGACACATTGTATTCATCATCATTCTGTCCTAGTACATTTTATTTTTCCCAACATTTGTGATTTAAAACCCCATGACATTTCTTCAAGGTGAAATTCTACTAGAATTTTCAACAAGATTAGTTTGTTGCAAGCCAAAATAAATATCATTCAGGTTCAGCAAAACTTTAGAAAGGCACCGATAAATGTGATGAGGTCCAGGTAAGTACCCTGACGATAGCCTGCCCTTAGCTAATGTACTTATGCTTTTAAAAATCAATGAAATAATTCAACTGCTTTAGTGATTAGCAATACATTACAAAAGCAGCATTAAAAATTGAGTCCTCTCTCCCAACGCCAGTCCGTGAAAGCATTGTTCTTTAAGTGTATGTGAATATCATAATTATTTTATGATTCCATCTTCGGTTCTTTCCAATATAGTAAATTCAATTGACCATGAAATGAAATTTCATAGTCAAAATGCCTCCTTTACACTTTTTTATAGCAGCAATAACAGTTTTATAGCTTTAAGGGAAAGTAATTCATCAGATGTTTAATTTAAAGGCAGATTATTATATTATTAATAAATATTTACCAATTTAATAAAGTACACATTTTAGCATGCATTATAAGGTCTTTTAACTATTTCTGCAACTTTAATGAGCCTGGCTGAGCCTCTACGAACAATGGTGAACCCTGTCTCTCTCTTGGTGACTAAACACCCTTTTCATTTTTATTATTTTTCAGGCACAACACTGCAAGCCTGATTGTAGAAGAACAGAGACAGAATCCTTCTTTCTAGTGTCAAAAGGACAAAAATGTAGGAGAGTCCATGGGAAACAATTATTTGCGATGGCGGGGGACGTTTATGAATACTTAATGGCCCTTTCTCGGCTGTTGGCTACATTCTTTTCCAACAAAAAAAGTAAAAATAAAAACCCTGATGTTCAGCTCAAACACAAAAGATCACAGGGAAGGAAAATTATGTTGCTGCAATCCTATTTGGGGAAGTAATCTTATATTTCAGAGAGCACGCTGAATCTCTGCACGCTAATCCACTACATATTTTGCAACTGTCTGTTGTTATCTGGGGAATTAACAATGAAACCAGTAGACACCACTAGTGTGTTCCTAATGTGCAGAGAAATATGTAAACAAGCAATAGGATTTGTTTTTTTGTTATACCAACACATCTGTTTCATTTTATCAGGGTTAAAAAAAAAAAAGCCTTACAAACTATTGATCTTGTTTTAAAATGTCTGCTTAGTACCTCACCTAAATAGACACAAATGCTTCAAATACTGTGGCGAAAAACAACAAAATCCCAGCAGAAGAGTTAAAACACTTAAGCAGATTTACTCTGGTGGTTGCTGACTATAATTGCTCACTAAGAAAAATAGAACCAAAACGATTGCATTAGTAATCTCCATTCTCTGGAGTGCCCTATTCGATGTTTATGACAATAAATAACACAATTAGGTATATTTCACACAATAACGGAATCTATATTTTCCTCTGCTGGTTATAAGCGATTATTCTTTGCCCTTTCTCTGTATCACAGTTTGATATTTCATTCGAGGTAAGAGCATATCATGTGTCATAAACATAATGTTATAATCCAACTAATGCAATAGAGCGAGGCACCTGAACGGGACAACCGCTTCCAAACCCTCGCCTGGGCCAACTTTCAGCTCAAGCACGCCGCTTTGTCACAAGGCAAGGGACGATTGGCTGCTTCCAAACCAATGAATCTGACTTTCTTAAAAAATCACTGCAAATCAGAAAGATCTTATTGGGCCATCCTCTTTCATAGGACTGTCTACCAACCCAATGCCCTCTTGTCAAATACCAGGGACCGATCTGGCGTCCAAACATGGCACCAGGAAGAACAATCCACGGGGGCCCCAGCAGACAGGCGCGAGCCTGTTTCAGAAAGGAACTCCCAGATCTTCACCAGGAGGAGTACAAAGGAGAAAAACACTTTCAAGCAAATCAACTTGCTGCCTACCATGTGCAACCCACTGCTATGGAGCACGCCATCTTGTTCCACGAGATTTCTTGAGATTGTAATGGACGGGAGATCCAGGCTCTGAGGGGGAAACTGAGGTGTGAATTCACTGCCCTGAGAGGGCAAGGGGTCGCTGAGGCCTTGAAAGGGTAGGAGCACGTCTGGAATGCCCAGAGCGGGGTCCGACTCCGGAGGAGGCGTAATCGGAGGGATTTCGAACTCCTCGTCCCCGAGGCTGGGCGTATGGAACGTCTGCTGAAAGGCAACAAAATACAGATTATTTTCATCCTCTGTTCCTATATCGTGTTTCTCCCTGGAGAGAAAAAGAAAGATTTTGCATGAAAACACTACATGGCGAGGCCAAATATTTATTTCTCAAATGAAAACATCTTAAACACAGAGTGTCATATATAAAGTTTTGCCGATCATTCTGATTAAAGATTTAAGTCTCATTATCATATGGTTTTAAAGGCGTATCAGTATTAATAGTTTTTTAATGCGGACTTAATTAGCAACATCTGTCTTTGTTGTTAGTTGGAGCAGCAGCGACATTAGATTTGGCTATATAACAAATTGCCACTTTATTGATATGTTAGTGAAACAGCTCAAACCACTCACATTATCCACATGCTTCATAAAACGCTGACGATTCGGCAGTGCACGCACACAACATTCATCCAGAAGTGAACATTACACATATTTACTTTCTGTCACAACATATAAAACAAGTCATATTCAATTTGTGGTGTGCTTTTTACATTGCCTTATTGACATATTCCCAAGTGCAAGGAGTGCTTCTATGGAAATATTACTGTCTGCAATACAGCATCTTATACAAGGACTATCATCAGAGCATCTATTAAAAGGTTCCAGTGCTTTTATGTAAACTATAAGGAGAGTTATTTCCTTTTACATGAAGATTTTGATATGTATTTATCAGAACATTTGCTGCCAGTCTTAAACTTCTAAATATGATCTGTAGGAGGAACAGAGATATGTTGAGAGGCACATTTTAATTCCACTGAGGTTGCTCACTTGGACAAGTATTATTTCTCAAGACCTAAGAACAAATAATGCACCGCTTCCTTCATTGCTACCTAGATTCTTAAAGATAGTGTTATAAAATACGGCTATGATATAAATCGGGACTTTATGCTCAACCCCACTTTTTTAGGCTAGAAGCTCAGATTTGGGGACTGGAGGTGGTCAGGGTGTACAATACAATTTTTGGTAGAGGGAAGAGGTTGGGAAGGGAGAGGACTCAGATATTTTTTATTCTCAGCTCAGAGGGGCAAATTTACAGTTCATTTATTATTAATAACATTTTTGAAGAATGAATTGGTGCGAGATAATTTGAATCTGCTGTAATTGGTTAAGAGAACTAATTGAGAGCTGAAAATTCTCATCATTCAAACTATGAATTGATGATGTAATTTAACAACCATGTGAGAGAAAGTAGAAACAAACTGAAGGGAAAGAACACAGTTCTACGTGTAGACCCTGTCAACTGTTACGCTTTATCTCACTGGAAATAAAAAGGTCATAAGCCATGATTGACAACGGAACATCTTCAGGTCCTTAGCAGATTCAGTATATGCAAAACGTTATAACGGAGGAACACATTTGAAAGCTAGAAAGAAATATTAGATTTTTTGGCATATTTATTCTAATACTGACCCGCAAAAGGTGTCCATTCCTCACGACGGTACCCCAAGTTCTCAAACACAAAGGGATGAATTGGCTGCAAGCGTGGTTGGCGAATGAACGTAACCCTATGGCTGCGTTTGCTGTTATTTTGGCACTAATGCGGTCTAGTAACAGATGCAACTGTAATTTGTGACTCATTTGCTACCCCATTACTGCTTAATGAAATCTAACATATCACATTAACAATACGGATAAACACTCATTCTTGATATGTGGCATTTGGCTGTTTTCATTACCACTGTAATTAACACTTGAAATATTATTTCAATAAATATTTAAAGTACTTTAAAAATGGTCAGGGTGAGCATGACACAGAGAGAAAACACGAAGCGAATGTGTGAATTTCAAACTCAGACGGTCGTGGTCCCCACAGGGATCTGTACAGGGCAATGTCTATGCGAAGGGGATTGGTTTCAGGCACAATTTCGACTTTACTGCATCAAACCTAAAGTCTTCCTGAATTAGTTTGCACTCATTAAAGTGTGAAAAAACCAAATAAATTTACTTTTAATGCCGTGATTGGGAAATTAGGCACATGCTCTAATGCAGAGCATTAACATTTACTTGGGCTTTACTTTTTGTTCAAAAATGATGTGTAGGGAAGTTGTTACATAAGATTGCCTTTAAACTCTACCATAAACATTTCTTATGCGAGGCAGTCAAAATTGGGAGCTTTTCATTTTTATTTTTGTTAAGGACTAGAAAGAGAGATCTTATATAATATGCCCTTAGAGTACAATTTTTTTAAAAGACAAAATAATTTTAAGTTAGGATTTAGTATACTATTATATCATAACCTAATAAAATCACGCTGTAAAATTATGCTACAGTACATAATCAAGAAAATGCTAAAATCTTTAACCACTTTTAAAGAGAGGTAATATATCAAATCAATGTTTGTTAAGCATTCCTTAGAGAAAAACGTAACAAAAACACTGGTCATCTGAGATTATAAAAATAACCACGTACGGCCTCACCAACAAAAACCAAAGTTACGGACCTCTGCACACAATGCCTCCTGACCAACATCAGATTCATCATGTAGAGTTTCTATGATTACTTCTTACAGATATTGACTTTTCAGTGTTTACCTTGAACATGTTAAAGTAGTGTGTACATGGTTAAATACCATCTGTACCGAAATGTTCAAAACATTTGTTCCTTTTGATAAAAATGCAAATCTGGAGAACTGTTGTATCAACATATAACAGCCAACGTCTGACACGGTGAATTATCACAGCTGGAATTAAATTGTCTCTGAGCAGCTGCTGGCAGCGGAGCTTTCATCAATGTTTGATTCAAATGTAGGGAAAAAAATCCTACAGAATGAAACATCATGTTGTCCTTACAGATGGGGTTTGTATTCATTATCACAAACAACACAGCAGCCGGCGCCAGCAATATTCCTTCTCTGGGCTGTCTTCTTGGTTAGAGAGTTGATGGTCACTGTAAAAATGAATTAATCTATGCGTCCACTGAATTCTGGATCTCCCCTATTTTCTAATAATTTCCCAAGGTTAATTTCTTTCACACCGCTTGCTTCCTTGGACCACAGTCGCTGAGGAAGCCATTGTGACATTCTCTGGGGTCAAGCTAGTTCAGTGTCCTGTATTTGAATGTATTGGGAAAAGGAAGACTTTATTACAGGAACTGCCGAGAGGTTCGTTTGGGCCGATGCCGCTGTTGGATCTTGCTTTAAAATCTTCAGTCTCAGAGTCCACCATTTTCCAGAAACCACTCCCTTTATCTAATCGAGATCCAGGATTTTCTGGCGGGGTAAGCCAATGAGACCAGACAATAGCCCTAAGCCAGTAAGTAAGGAATTCAGTAAAAACGGGAAGGTTTGTGTTCCATTTGCACCAGTAAACTGTAGACAAACGCAGAGCCACCATGGTGCCACCTTTACCTTCTGTCAGCTTTCCTGGCTATGACTATGCTCATTCACTCATTCAGCATTTATTGAGCACCTACTATGTGCAAGGCACTATACTAGGCTGTGGGGAGCTAACAAAATCCAAAGCATTTTATTTTACATCGAAGACCCAGGAAACAGTAATCCTGTTCCGCCACATTGTTTCCCAAATCATGGCAACTTAATGAAACTATCCCCAGAGCTATGCGAAGTTAAAATATTTTCATCAAAAATTACTTCCATTCCATTTCACAACCACTTATATGCTTAGGTACCTACATAGCTTGTAGAGATAGGTGGATTTTATATACTTTCTCATCTATTTACTTTTGTTTGCATGTGTATCTCTTCTCATCAAGACGTGTGTGAGTTGCTAACATTCTCAACAGACTTGGACAAGCGACACAGACGTGTCAGGTTATTTTCCTTTCCAATACGTTTTTCTCCTTTCTCCTCCTAAGTCATTACCTTGCGCCACACACGAGAAAGATAAATTCGGTACTTTGCTTTTCCCCTTCAAGCCTTTTAAATGATCTAAATACCACACAAAAACATGAACAGACACATTAAGGGAAACACCTACCTCGCTGGCTGCAAAGAAAGCGTTGTTTGCCTCTGCCATGTTCATATAGTTATTGTTAGTTCCAAACTGGAAGAAAACAGATTGTTTCAGGTTAATATGCAAATTAATAAAGGACTGTGCTGGCTTACCTAATGCTTGATGAGATTTGGAAAGAATGCTGGTGTTAGGAGGTGAAAGAGTGATTTTACCCAGAGCAAAGGGGAACCGTGGCGGTTTCTATCCTGCCACTATTCTATCCTCCTGGCTGGTTCCCTCTGAAAAATCCAGCATGGAGTTAGGCTACCTTGATCATTCCAGAAAACAGTGTTGTTTCTCATCGAGACAAAGCCGAGGCAACTGCAAACATTTGCCCAACTGGTCACTCGCATGTGTTGCTTATGGAACTGGCATTTCTCAGAGGTTAGAAGGGAAAGAGTACCCCCCCACCCCCAAATCACCTTGACACATTTTTAAAGCATGTTGCGATTTCATAGCTTACTTTTCCAGAACAGATGTTGCAAGTGTGGGTAGGTTAAGATGTGAATTAAAGGGAAGAGAATTCAATTCCCAGGACTCAAATTCTATTTTCTAGTGAATGGGGTGTGGCGTGAATATAAATAAATGATCAGACTAAAGAATATTTTTTTAAATCTCCAGAGTTTAAAACGGTATCTCTATCCATCAGAGCTGCTGAAAATAGTGATATTTAATCTCTCAATGTAACATTAAGTGCAAAGAGGTTTAAAAAATAAGCGGGATCCCATGAACACAGCAATTTTTATTTAATTCCCTAACACAATAGTCCATTCATACCATCACAAATAAGACTGTATCAGCATTTCAGGCGTAAGCTCTTTACTTCTAGAGACCTGTTATCAAAATGTTAAACTTGGATTTGGGCAGAAATGTGTTTTCGGGTTTGGATGGTAGAAGCAGGCACGTTTGGTTGCTTTAAACATTCTGTTATCAGTCTGGCAAGATGGAAAGGCTCTGTGAGCAAAATTAGCTGGAGTTATATTATGTTCATGATTTTTCAATAGAAAAAGGACGCCCTCCTTTCTACAAAGTGTATGATTTCCTCCCTTTAATGCACTAAATAACACAGAGGTTTGGTCTCCAAAGGGTGAAATGTATATATCCATTCTTTAATATAAATAGAGCTAGTAATTATTTAAAGTAGAAGGCACAATTTTCCCAAGGCCGGCGTGGGGGGGGGGCGCAGTGGGGAGGGAGAGAAAGGGAGACTAAATAGAACATAGACATAAACCGTCTCAATAAACCCACCCACGCTTCTTTCCAGGGGGCTCTCAGCCCCTGAACTGAACCCCTAAGACTCTTTCGCAGAAGCAGGATTGACATGCTGCACTTGACCACGTCAGGGATCCGAGAACTAAGCGGGATTTACGCAGAGACTCGAACAGTTCCAGAGCGCTGGTGCGGTCCGCGGAAGCAAAATCCCACCCTGCAAAGCGACACCTCAATACCCACTTACACAGTGAGCCCTCAGATTCATTTGGATAAATATCTTTATAAGGGTTTCTGAAAGATGTGTTTGTTCGTGCTTCAGAAAGGCCTTTATCTGGTTTCCTGGAAGGCATGTGATATCAAAAACAAACGTAGACTTATCTCCAGGTTATCGAGTTGTATACATTAAATGTCCAGAGTTTTTCTGTATGTCCATCATGCCTCAATAAAATGGTTTAAACATGATTTAAAAATTTAGGGAAAACACCACACGAGCAGGTATGTGTGCACATGCATGCACACCACACACACACATACACACACACACACACATTTTCCCCATGTTTCTATAATGTTAAAAACATGCAAGAAAAAAGTAGATTCTGTCTTGGAACTCTTGATGCATTAATGATCTTAGAATTAAGATCTCGGGCTTCCATTCCTCATGTTCTTTATAAATATTTATGAGAACTAGGTCACCATGTGTATTTCATACACCAATCCTGGCTCCCCAAACCACCGACAGCCTGGATCTCAACTTTAACGTTATTTAAATGTAGGTTTTGTTGGGGAGTTAGAAATCCATTGAAGGCAAACAGCTCATTATCACAGAGTTTGTTTGTTTTTTTTTAAGATTGAACTCACTTATTATCTAATAGCACCTAAAACAAAGAAAAATAAAATGGCTATTAAACTAAGGGCCTAAACAATTCAAAAAACAAATTAAGCTGAGAGTGAAATAAGAACTGGGTTAGAAATCCTCTTCTGAACAGTTAGTATGCGAATGTAATTACTGAAGAAACTACAGCTAATCAGCTGTGAATTGTATCCATTAATTAGTATTTGCCCTGGAGAAATGAGAAGAACCAGGAACGACGCAGGCAACCGCAAGTGAGCCACAGGATGGTGGCGCTGCGGGCAGTCAAGCAGGGGGTTCCGGTGGGGTCCAGGTCGTTTGAAAAGCTCTCACCTGAAGGACTGAGCTGGCATCAGAAAGCTCCCCCTGCATATCTTCTGTGTCTATGGAAGGCCTTAAATAATGGCTTTTATTTGGACACACTTGGCCACTGGGCTGGAACAGCCATCAGTCCTTTAAAATAGAAGCAAAGGTCTCCATTTTGTTAGGGGTAAAACATGCCCTCTGCAAAGATGGCTTCAGAGGCTGGCGTGTTCCAAACATGCGTCTTCTTCCCACCCGGGCGGCTGGGCCCCAGGTTTAGGGTGGTCAGATGAAACACAAGACAGGGGCCCCAGGTCAGCTTGACTTTTGAATTAACAACTTAAAAAAAAAGGGTAAGTATGGGCCATACATTATTTGGGCTATACTTAAACAAAAAAGTGTCCCTTATCTGTGATTCAAATTTAGCTGGGTGTTGTGTATTTTATTTTAGAGATTGTATTTATTTAATTTTAGAGAGAGGGAAGGGGAGGGAGGAAGAGAGGGAGACAAACATCAATGTGCAAGAGATATATCAGTCAGTTGGCCCTCACCTGCCCCAACCAAGTATCTAGCCTGCAACCCAGGCATGTGCCCTGACTGGGAATCAAACCAGCAACCTTTTGGTTCACAGGCCAGCGCTCAATCCACTGAGCCACACCAGCCAGGGCACATTCTTATTGGCTAAACCTGACCTGCCTCCTGGGGTGGTTGCCCTGCCCAGGTTGGAAGGGGTGCCGGTTTCCTGGTGACTTACCTCACTGAGGAATGCTAGCGTAATTTCGCTTATGTTAAATGTGACCTAGGAACCTGCTTTGCTTGCTTGTCTTAGAAATGGGTTGGATTTTTAGAGAAAAAGTGACTCTGCGGGGACAGATCTGTGATACGATGACTTCTGAACAGTTAACTTCAGCTAAGTTGTATACAATTAAATTCATGTTCCAAGAGACAGTGACCTTAACAAACACATTCTGTTCCAAGAAATCCTAGGTCCACGTGGGAAGGGGCCTTGACCGTGTTCGCCCCCTGGTGCCCCTGGAACCAACGACAATGCCTGGCACATTGTAAGCACCCCAAGGTCTGTCGAGGAGAGGGAGGAAAGGAGGAACCCCATTTAAACCTCAGTGTCTCATCACCACCCACCAACCTGGAGTAATTGTATCACTTCCGTTTTTATGTCGAGAGTGGTGATGACGACAATGATGATGGTGAAGAAGATGACGGTAATGATGTGTTTGCCCAGGAAAGCCTTCTATCTACATTATTTAACTTTCCTAAGCGCAACTAGGTGTACTTTGTTTTCCCAACCACCAGATAAACATAATTACTGCCCCCATTTCTAAATTTACAAACTGAGGCTTCTAAGGGTCAAGCTTCTTGCCCCAAATCAGATACAAACATGGAAGTCTCACCTTCATCCTGCTTTGCGATCTGTATCACTTATGATCCAATACCCACGAAAACTTGAATAGTTGACCAATCAGTTCCATTCTAAAAGTTATCAATCTTGTCTATCTTACTCAAAGCTGTAACTTCCCAGAGGGCATTTTAAGGTTCCCAGCACCAGTAAAATGTTCCCAAGAAAAGGGTCATGCGGCCCCGTAGCCTGGGCAAGGCCGCAGACCCCGGCCTCTCTGGCGAGTCTCAACACCAGCTACAAAATCAAAGGCTCTGACAAGTCCTCCGGTGAATTCTTCAAGGTCCCATGAGGCACTGTGGTAGGAACTGGAGACCAAATGGGGAAGATGATGATGAGGCTCCTCCTTGGATGGAGCTTACATCTTTCTTAAGGGTGAGATACTAAGAAACCCCCCACTATATTTTTTCTGTGGAACACTCCCTTTCCTTTCCCCCGCAATGCCTTGTAGGAACATGCTTTGGGAAACCTTGTTGCAAACTCTTTACTGATAGTATTCCTTTATTTTCCCTGAATCCTTATAAAAGGTATTAACCTAATTCTGTACAATGGTAAAGTATATGCATTTTGCAAATCACCCAAATAAGACTTGTTCAATCATGTATTGTATGTCACCTTAATTGGGCCTATTTCCAGACTTTCTAGATGGTAATTCTTCATTACTGATCCTTCAAAGATCTCCTATGCAACCATATGAGGTTCTAGGTTTTAAGAGTCAAAACAAAATATTTCAAATACTCTTAAATGAACGAACCTCATGTGAAAGAGCATTAACTACTCTAAAGAGTATATAAAAACATTATGAAAGAAATAGTCATTTATATATGGAAATGGTCACTGAGAGGCCGGAGCATTTATGAGGTCTTTTCCACTTTGATAGGCTCTAATAGATGATCCCCAAAATCTAATTATAAGGCAGAACAAAATTACTCTGCGTACGCCTGTATCTTCATAATTTCACAAAAGAACATCTTCATTGCTCTTGGAAGTAGATTTACTTTTGCTGCTTGATGAGTAATTACAGCTTCAGTGAATACAATTTATGAAGGACATCAATTAAAAAGAAGTATTGCAGGATTTAAAAAAAAAATTATTAAAGACCATCGTGTTTGCGGGCCGTTGAACTGTGTGAGGTGCCAAAGTAAATGAATGGTGGTTGTTACGTCCAGCCCATGCGGCCAAAGGCTGGGGAGACCGCGGGGCAGCACAGACAAGCGCCCATCTGTAGTCCCAAGATGGCTACTCGGCCTGATGAGCCCACACAACCCC